TGTGAAGATATACTAGATATTACAACGAAATAGAGGTATACCAAATTGTCCCTTGATATTAACCGTGTTGATGGTTTTAAATTTTGTATGTTGTAAGTATTTAAGTTTGTGAAGCGTTTACTCCTCCCCCTCGGCAAGACAGTAAGATTGTAGATTAATGATAATAATTGTCAAATGACGTTATATATTATATAACAGTTATAAATGTTCAATAGTTGTAGAGCAATTTCAAGAGTGGTGGTCCACAGGGGTCCGAAAAAGCCGTACAGGCACTTGGGTCCTTATCCTTGTCACTAATCTCAATTGGATTCGGTTTACACAAAACATGAACATTTAGACATACACATTGACACGATATTTATTAGAAAGCAAAAAGTACAAAATAATACGTGCGTGCGCGGCTTGAGCCACGCCGCATAAGAACGGATGCGTGCAGGGGCTGGAGTACGCCGCGCTTGTATGTAGATTAATGAAATGTTGCATTGTAAATATTTAGAATTGACGATATATTATGATCTAATAGTAAATTTTACAAAGCTGGCTTTAGATTTAGGTAAGATTATACATTATAATTTATTTTTTAAATACCACGGATAGTTTTAAATTTATTTCTATTTGTCGTATAATCATAAACAATTTAATCCTGTTTTCAAGAATGCGCGGCTTTAGCGGCCGGTTATTGACTTATACATTAAATTGAATTTTAAATAGAAATGTGAATATATTAAAATTTAAAACTTTCAAAACGGAGGCTTATAAATATTATTACATTATGATTGTAAAATAAAGGATAAAATTTTAAATTTGTTTCACTAAAATTTGTTTCACTAATATTCTTGATTCTATTAGTAAGTTGGTTTTATTCTTTTCTTTTATGTTAGTAGCAGTTAGCAGCAGTTAGTAGCAGTTAGTAGCAGTTAACAACAGTTAGTAGCAGTTAGTAGCAGTTAGCAGCAGTTAGCAGCAGTTAGTAGCAGTTAGTAGCAGTTAGCAGCAGTTTCTTTGCACTATGGCACCCCTGTGGAGTGGTACTTTAGAAGCGGTATTTCTGGTACTAGAAAAGCTCTTACAGGCAACTGGTTCCTTTATTGCCAGCCGTTTTTAGTCAAAGTAATGTCCCATTTCTGGTCTCAGAACATGCGCAACTAAAATTTTCGTATGCCAACGAATTATTTGTATCACGTCGTGACCGTACCCCCTGTCATTGCACAGAGTGGTTTTGTGTCGAAAGTCAAGAATGACGAAAGGGCTACAACGGTTTACAACCTGAAACAAAGCATTATGGACTGTTGATTTATGAAATTTAAACATTTAGAATACAAGTCAGTAAATGAAATATTTTAAAAATAACTTTTACTTCTGCTTTGGAATTTTTATTTTATTTTTGAATTCATTAGTTTTATTTATTTAGGCTCACCGCGCTATAGTCGGATCCCAACCGTTCTAAAAGGCTATCTCGTTAGCTTTTCGTGTTAAAAGCGATTTCTCAACGGTTATCACCTCTCTAGATGATTCTTAAAACATTTGGACACTATTGCATTTTTGAAAAATATGCAATAGTGGTGTTTTCGGCCACACCCTTTTTCAGGGTTTCGCGGTCAGTAGAATTTTTGTATTTCAGCCCAGGAAGGTCTTAAAGACTATTCCGATACACCAAAATGTGCCTAATAGCCACATTTATATACAACTTATGAAGCAACATATACCTTAAAATGCTTCGTTTTGGAAATATGGCCGAAAAACGGTTTTTGGCTAGACGCAGTTCATAATTTCCGTGATTTTTGGCATTTTCGCCTAGGAAGGTCGTACAGACTATTCTGATACACTAAAATGTACATAATGGCCACATTAATATACAACTTATGAAGCAACATATACCCTAAAAGGCCTATTTTCGGAAATGTGGCTGAAAAACGGATTTTTGCCGAGCGAAAAATGACAATATTCACAAATGGGCTATTGGACTGTTAACTAGAACGGTCTTAAAGACTCATGAGCAACATAGCATTTGTAACAAGATGTAAGATGACTCACTTTGTGTCCAGAAACACCTACAAAAATTGGAGAATGATCTACTTTATTGGGCATCTCTCTTAATGGGCCAGGCCAGCAGCATATTTGTGTCTTACGAAAGGGCAATTTTTCAAAATTAAGGTTTCTTAAGGTCAAAGGGCCGGCTGCTAACAGCAAATTGTTTGCAATTGCCGACCCATGCACATCATATAGTTATTTAGTTATACTGAAAAACGCTCACTTTAGGAGTCATCAGCAAATAAGTTTAACTAGTACTACAGCATGATTTGTGAAAACTCCAACAATTAATTTTCATTGGCACCAATTTAAATAGAATGTGTGCCAGACCAAAATTCAACTTCAAACTTTTTATTTATTCATGCCATAAAACCATGATATATGTACCAAGAATACCGGGCCTAAAATAAATCGGCACTGGATCCGGGCCAGACTGTTGCTTGACCGCTGACCAGTACCCCACGTTATAATTATGATTTATTTCGCTGCCTCGACCAATATTGGTCTGTAATCCCTGGATTGAGATCTGTTGGCTGCAGTTTAATTTAGCTAATTTCCTATAATACCGCAGTGGTTTGGTTCCCACTTCAGAATGACCCCCATATTCTTTTTAGTCGCATAGATTTTCCCATCGTATGACATTGCGTGTCATTCCCTCGTTTTAATCAAATGTTGACTGTTTAGTTCTTCTGTTATTACAGCTGTGAGCTGCCTCGAGATCTTTTCTGGGGCATGGGCTATATATATATTATATATATGGACACGTTCATAAAAAGGTGGCACTAGAGATTGATTTTTCACTGCCAAAATTGTGTGAAGCATTTTAAAATACTTGTATCTCAAGGAGTATGCTATGAAAGTTAACCAAATTTTAATATGTGGTCCAAAAAGAGTCAAATGTCACATAATTAAGTCATTCATCTCTTTATATCTGTTGATTGTGCAGATATGAGCCAGAAATCACAAAATATTCATTTCTTGCACCTCTAATGATGAATTTACATTCTGTGAGTGTGTCCTGCTTCTCAATGTGATTATTGAACCTTTTTGAGATAGTTGAGTGTTAAAAGTGCAAAGAGTCACCGGTTAAATGTGGAGTTATGATGCAATTATCACACACAGGGTTAATTCTGACTAATTATTTTAGTATGGTGAATGTGATATGAATATCAACGGAATGATTGTAATAATGAACTCTATCGATCACAATTATAGCATGCTAACTAATATTTAGAGAATTTAGATGGTTAAAAGTGCCATAATGAGTCAAAAATCACATAAATGAGCATGTATTGAAATGATGCTGTATCAGGGGAATGTATCACTTTTTGGCTCTATATCAGGTTGATATTCATAGTAAATCTGCAGTGATTTGTTGTGACACTTGTTTATGGTCATGGAGAAGTTCGTTATTAGAGTAATAGTGGAATCAATAATCACAAAACACTGATTTTAAACTGAGTAAACTAGGCAAGTACTTTTACTACTCAAGCCATGATAATTTTGTCTCCATAATGTGACAAATGAATCAATCAGTATAAGTAACGTATAATACTTAATTGGATTTTTGAATTGTGATTATCGATTCATTACCTTTCCTTTCAAAATGTCATTACAACTTGAACATTACATATGATTCAATTGTCACACTTTAAAGAAAATGACATATTTGGTAGCTAAATTGTGTGATTTTTGAATCATTTAAGCACCCAGATCAAAAATTATCGCTCAAAGACCTTCAATATGGTATACCTTACCTGGTAAGCTTAGACATGGATTCAAAAATCACATAATAAGATTCATAGAATGAATATAAATTGTCATATCGTGCACTTAATTTAAGGCTTACTATAGTGTGACTTAATAGCGCACCTTTAACGAAAATGTGACTTTTGAATCATATTAACTGGTTTCAATACTATTTAATACTATTTTGTACCCTAAAAAATGATAAAAAGCCAATAAAAACGTTAGATGATTCAATAATCACTGCTCAAAATAGGCTCATTTCCAACGTTTAAGTTGTGATTTTTGACTCATTTTGGCACCAATAACAATTTTAGATAAGACATTCCATTCCTTACATGCATTATAGTCACCATATCAATTTTGGCTTCTTTGTGAATATTACTTTTCAGATTATTTAGTGTTGATTCATCTTGCATTTCTAATTGTGTGACTTTTGACTCATTGGCACACCAATAACGATAACTCCTGTAATATAAGCACTAGAGACTCCGTGATTTCAGGATCATGAAATTTAATCGAATTTCTAAAGGTATAGATAGATATATCAACCAACAAAGAGCAATGACTATTTTTAAAACGCATTTAAAAAAATCAATCTCTAGTGCCACCTTTTTTTGAACGTGTCCATATGATAGAAGGTCTCGAGATGCTGATTAAGCTATTTAGGTTACACATGTGAAATTTTTCCAGCTTTGGGTAAAGTGGACTTTTATTTAGAGCGGGGAGGGGATCTTAATGACCAAAATCTGAACGATCTCTTACTTACGGGAAACTACGGATCTCGGGCCTAATAGCTGACCCAGTTTTTAATGAGAGGCTGGAGTATGGACCTAGATGTCAACGTGAGGATATCATGAGGATTCAGGATGCTCTGCCTGCCTTTCATGGGGTTTTGTAACCCCGAAAGCTGGTATATCTTATCTCAATTAACCTTGGTTACATCCCGTGCTGTTTCGAATATATAATTAGATTTATAGGTCCAACTCCAATATCAAGCAAAAAAGTCTGATCTCCGGTACTGCGATGTTACACTTACACGATTTCCGACGCGAGGATCTCCGAGGTCCGATCTTAAAGTTGGATTTCAGAGCCAAAAAGAAAAACCTAAGCCTTGGTGCTATCTTTGAGAGTCAATATTGGTCGAGGCAGCGAAATAAATCATAATTATAAAGTGGGGTATTGGTTAGTGGTCAAGCGACAGTCTGGCCCGGATCCAGTGCCAAATTATTTTAGGCCCGGTATTCTTAGAACATATCATGGTTTCATGGAATTAGGAATAAATAAATCAAAAGTAGAACTTTTGTCATTACATTTTGGCTAAATTGGTGCCAATGAAAATTAATTGTTGGAGTTTTCATAAATCACGCAGTAGTTAAACTTATTTACTGATGACTCCTAAAGTGAGCGTTTTTCAGTATAACTATATGATGTGCATGGGTCGGCAATTGCAAACAATTTGCTGTTAGCAGCCGGCCCTTTGACCTTAAGAAACCTTAATTTTGAAAAATTGCCCTTTCGTAAGACACAAATATGCTGCTGGCCTGGCCCATTAAGAGAGATGCCCAATAAAGTAGATCATTCTCCAATTTTTGTAGGTGTTTCTGGACACAAAGTGAGTCATCTTACATCTTGTTACAAATGCTATGTTGCTCATGAGTCTTTAAGACCGTTCTAGTTAACAGTCCAATAGCCCATTTGTGAATATCGTCATTTTTCGCTCGGCAAAAATCCGTATCAGAATAGTCTGTACGACCTTCCTAGGCGGAAATGCCAAAAATCACGGAAATTATGAACTGCGTCTAGCCAAAAACCGTTTTTCGGCCATATTTCCAAAACGAAGCATTTTAAGGTATATGTTGCTTCATAAGTTGTAAATAAATGTGGCTATTAGGCACATTTTGGTGTATCGGAATAGTCTTTAAGACCTTTCTGAGCTGAAATACAAAAATTCTACTGACCGCGAAACCCTGAAAAAGGGTGTGGCCGAAAACACCAGTATTGCATTTTTTTCAAAAATGCAATAGTGTCCAAATGTTTTAAGAATCATCTAGAGAGCTGATAACCGTTGAGAAATCGCTTTTAACACGAAAAGCTAACGAGATTCCGTTTCGTCTCTGACTACTAATAGAAATTTATAATTGAAATGAATTTTCGAGTAGTATATATGTATAGTAAAAAGCGTATTTTACATAGCATGTTTAATTTTAATGAGTTTATTGTCGGATGTTCAAGTTTAACTATATGTTTATTATTGACATACGTTGCATGCCACTTTTCGCGCGCGAAGCGCGCGCCGCCGAAGGCGGAAAAATAATAATATCTCTGATATTTGGATACGAAACATGTATCAAGTTTATTATTATTCATTTAATTGTAGTATGGCAATATATATTATAAACTATTTGAAAATATGAATTTGCCAAAGTGAAAATGTATTTATTTATAATACTTTCCGGGAATTATATGCACTAAAATTCGTGGACACTGAGAGCTGATAATTTGCAGATATTTCCCGCAAGAGAAGCGACGGCCGACGGTATTATCTTGTCATACGTTGTATGACACGCCGCGCACGAAGTGCGCGGCTCCCCCTGTATCGTCGAAGTGAAGCGACCGTGGGGGTCACCACGTGATACAAATATTATCAGCACACATTGCGAGTCACCTCATACTGGCTGGCGGCTAGTTTCAAAACAAATAACAGTTGAGCTTTATATATTACACACTTCATTGTATAATGCGCACGCGTATCACATTACACATCTTTCAATCGGAACCGAAAAAATATTATTACAAATAATACCTTGGCTTCTTCGGGCCGCAAATTCCCTCCAGTAAGCTGACGGGAATTATTACGAGCGGCCCGAAGAAGCCAAGGTATTGTTGTAATTGTATTATAATATTTTTTCCATTAATGATGGACTAAACCGGTGCACGCTACTTCGCAGCACTTTGCCTCGGGTACTTTGCGGCGCGCGCAACTTCGCATCGACGACATTTAGACCAATATTATGTTTCCGTTGACGGATGTTGCTCCGAAATATTGCAGTTGTGTTACGGACATTTATTATTTATTTATCTCAATTTATAGGATCGAAAATCTGGTGTACCGTGATTTATTACGCTTGAGAATTTGTTATTGCAATTAGTACCACAACATGGTCCCAACGTGCAGACTTAGTAAACTATTTGAAAGACTGAACTTATAATGTTATTTTCGGTTCACGTAACAGTTGTTCCTCACTGTGTAAATCTTGCACTGTTACTGACATTGGATGACATTTATATTAGATGGCCAATTGCTCTAGATCTACTTTTTAATGTCGTTACTTATATCTTGTGGTGTGCTTCAAACCATTGATACTTGTATTAATAAGTTCCTGTGATTTCTTTGTCTTGATATACATGTGATGAAAATGTCAAGTCTTTTGCAGCCTCCTTGATATGTTAAGTCTCCTCCCCTGGCCCTTAGTATTTTTATACAAATTAAAAGGGAACATAAATCAAGTTTTTATCTCATTAATTACATTGTACTGTACTGAATAAACTATTGTATCAGGAAATATTAAATTTTTGCACATTTTGTTGCCAAGTAGCTGACACAACTGATGTTCCTTAGTAAGCTGTAATCAGCTTACCAAGGGACATTAGGATACATCCTAAAGTTTTCCAAAGGAACAGTATGTGGCTGGTTTAAACAACACTTGAGGTTTCTCAAAGGCACAAAATAAATCCTCTCTTATATCTGATTCTCTTTAACTAGCTTTTCTAGACAAAAATGTATATCATTTGGTAAGTTGAAGCTTTAAAGATTACTGGCACACAAAATTTTTGATTTTTGTCTCCATGTGCATTGTGCATGATATGGGTATACCAGAGAGAAGTTTAGGCCATGAAATTCGTGATTTAAATGATTAAAAGGTTGAAGTTATTTAAAATCAGATATTGCATTTCATAGAATTCCTCGTTGAATAACATAATTTTTTTATTGTTTCTTGATTTTGATTCACAAACTTGTTATATCTATATTGAAATCATCAAGACATTATGTTTTATAAAATTTACCACCATTCTTCGGCGAAAATGGGTTCGAAAAAGCCACTATTGGCACTCGAGTCCTTGATCTTTCCGATGGTTCACTGGGGCTTTTGAGCTGCCGTCCTTCAGTTTCTGTAAACTGAAATTACTACCAATCCAAGTTTGAGGCAATCAGCCGACGCGCGGCTTTTATGGTTATATATGATATGTTTAATCTGTAATAAAGATCAAAATTCAAATTTGTTTCTCTAAAATTTGTTTCTCTCTAATAGCCAAAATAGATCACAAAATGGAAGATGATAAGAAACTCAGTTTTGCTGACCGTGTCGTGCCAATGAGGAAGTCCAGAAGGCACTCCAAAAGAATCCCTGAAGTTGGCTCCCCTACTGATTTCAAACATCTCCTTCACATTGGCACAGATTCTCACCACGTTGACATCTCAAATGTACCACCACAGGTATGTGTATATTTAATTGCTATCTCAGAATCATATTTTAAATTGGTTCCATTTTTGTAAGTTAAGTTGAAATCAAGTTTGATTCTAACCTCAAATTAAAAAACTTTTGTACTCATCAATAAACTTTTGTAGTGGAAAGACATTTTGGAGATAGCAAAACACTGTCACGAGTTGGATATCTCAAGCAACAGCAGTGCTGAATCTGAAAACTGCAAAAAAGACAGTCCCCAGAAAGATCAGACGCAAGCCAGTCCTGCTCCCATCGAGGAGGAATTCGACTTCAAATCTGAGATTGATCTGTTTGCTGATCTTGAGCGTTCACTATCTGATGATTACAAAAAGTTCCTGTTCGGTTGAAGAAAGAAACGCTGCCCAGTTGGGATTGTTTGAGTTCGCCATGTGGATGTTAGCCAAAATAGTCGTGCTGCTTGCTGTTCATAACCAATAGTAAATGATCAAACTTATCTTGTCGACTAATCTACAACGTCTATACCTGCTTGTGAACTTATGTATTTGCTATGTGACACACCCGTCACTTGAAACTGATAATCTGTAAATACTGGAATTAGAATTTAAGACTACATTGTTCAGTTTGTTGACTCTCAGTGAAACCTCAGTTGACACCCATTATTTGTGAGAACATGTTTGCTGAAAGACAGTGTTGCTCCACCGACCCGCTGGAGTTAGTGCAGTTTCCATGGCAAACATTATATTATAGCTGTGTTGATCACTGCTAGATAAAAACTACATTCTTTGTATTCGCTATTCATGTTCTGTGGATGCTGTTTATTTACTTAGGTTAAACTTTACCTGTAGTATTATTGGTATTATTGTAATCCCTCAAAACTATTTTATAGCACACACTTTTGTAGAATCAATTAACAATGTTTGCCATTAATTTTACTACATCTTCTGATACTGGTTTATATGTAGTGTAGACGATAAAGATCTAGCTGATAAACAATTTTTAAGAGGAGTTCTTATATCCAAATTTTTTGATCTTATAAAGATATTTTATTTTTAGCAAGTTGCGTTTATTTCAAAAACTTGCATACAATCGCAGTAACTGAACTGCTTGTTTTTAATAGTTAGAAATTTATATATGTGAATGCATTTATATTAAAATTCGTGTGCAATTCAATGTTTTCGATAACTGTTGTCTATCATTTTTTCACTGATTGAATTATAATTTGCATAAGATACACAAAAATATGATCAAATTGATTAATTTTCAATTAAAAATGTGGATCACCATTAATAAATCTAATTAATCAACCCTCAAATAGGCTGTTCCACCTTTCCTGATCATAAACTATAATCATGAAATTTATAATAGTTCGTTAAATCCATTTCAGTCAAAATAAACGTGTACTTGTAAAGTAACTCATCACATTATATATATCACAAGGCACATGGAAGAATGTGTTAATCCTCTATATTTCCATACTTATAATCATGTCCTTGCTTAATAATTATTCGTTTTTAAGAAAAACTAACTCCACGGCTAACTAGTAGCTTCGTGTAAAATTCGAGTAATCGAAATCTTAACATGAGGACTTATGGAGCTCTATATACTGTGTAATGTGACATATTATCATAAATAGCAAGGTACTCTTTTGTAAATCTTGGCTGCTGAAGAATTCCTAAATTTAACATCATTACACTCGCTATGTTCCAAAGAATTAAGAACTTAAACGCAATTTCTTAAACTGTAATTCTAAATAAGTCACATCATTGGTCACCTCATCACGGCCGATATTAAAATGTTTTATTTGTGCTTGTTGCTTGGAGGCGAGCTTGTGATCACGCACGTTTAACACGACATTAATCAAAGTTTTAGTGACAGTTTCTAGTCTTAGTTACATAGTTGTGGTTTAAGTTTAAGTTTTAGGTTTAATAAAAGTTAGAGTGTTAGTTATAGTTTAGGTGACAGTTTCGTTATAGTTTTAGTCATAGTTTTACCTACAGTTTTCATTTCAGTCCCATTGTACAAGGTTTAGATTTGTCAGTTTTCTGCGTGTTAATTATATTTAGTGTGTCTTGGTGCAAGTGTTGACAGGGTCCTATGAGATCATCGGATCGTTCGGAATTTAATACGCTCCTATAATGTGAACTGTAAGACAACTTTTAAAGTCGAACTGTGCTCTTTGAGCAGATATTTTCCGAAATTCTTGAAGTGCCGTATTTATGATATATACCGAGACATGAAGCTTGTGAACTGTGAAACCTTGGCATCATTAACATGCCGAGTAGCTTTCACAAAAACTCAAATTTTAACTCTACAGCCTTTCTTTAAATGAGATTGAAGACACTCTGTGATATCTTGTAATAACTTCTCAGATCCGAACCAAGGTCAGATAAACCTTTGATCGTACACAATCGTATATAACGCCATTTTTGTCGTGATCGCAAACGAAACTGACGGTAAAGCCCAGCATAATCTAACATAGCCTTGCATAATATGCCGGACACAGTGAGTTAACAGAAATCTTATAACGCTCACCGCAACCTGTGAGCTTTACAAACTTTAATAAACCTGCCCACATCTCCTCCTTCTTTATATTCGTTACAATAATCGCACACATTTATTATATTTGTCTATCCAGTCCGGCATTAGTTGTTGCCAAAAATTTTACCTGCCACCATAATTTAGCGCACGTCATGCCAATTTAAATAACAGATCAGGACAGGGTAGCTGTTACAGTTAGTAGAAGCAGTAACAGTGCCGTTGTGAGGCTTTGGCCGGGAGATATGTATCAGTATACTAGCACTAACACATCAGGGCACATCACGGCAGCCCTACGTGAGTGCTCCGCTTAGTGCCACGACTATTCCTACATTCTTCCAACATTCTTCCTACATTCCTGAAACTCTGGGTTGTCCGTTCGATCTGACTGCACTACTTTCAACACATTTTGTCCCGTGTTAAATGCTCCATGGAGGTAGCGTCGTCTCTTGTTGTCGCATACTGTTGTATGCTTGTCTCTCTTTTACTTCGCCCTGAAACATTGGCTTTTAGTGAGGTTTTCTTGCCGGATATCTGGTTTTTTTTTGTGTGTGAGAGGTTTTTGACGATGTTTTAAACGTTTCATGTGATGTTTTTGTGACGAATTTTTCGTCGTGGAGCGCATTCCGTTGTCATGCAACATATTTGGTGAGGTTTTTGTGGGGTTTTGGCGTCGTTATTTGTGATATATTGCGTGATAGTTTTCGTGCTGTATGTTTACTTTTTATACCGGCGGTTTTTGTTAAACCTAGTGTCAACTGTAAAAATGTTTAATACATTCCGTGATCCGTCATTCCGTGGTCGCTAACACCCTACTACCCACGAATACCCTCCAAATCTTATCACTATTTTCTAAGTGTGACATTCTTGCGATAAATGATAAATTTATAAATAACATAAAAGTTTAGCAAAGTTCCAAAAATATGTTTACAATAACACCTATGATCTGAGAAGCGTGGCAACTATCGCACCGATTAGAATTCAGATAATATATTTCAACAGCAAAATAAATTAAAAGTTCGAATAAAATGTAAAATAGTAAAAACTATAACCGCCGAATAGATTCCAGAGCTTATCCTTAAATAAATTACAGGGCTTATATCCTTAATTTCAAAGTTTCTCTCTCACAGATCATGAGATGAATGTAGGATGGCTCAAACCCGGCAAGAGGGTCAAACGACAACTCTCAATCTCCGGACCCCTCAACTTCCAGCATATCGAACACATCGGAGCTGACGGTGAGCAATTATTTTTGATTTAACACATTTTTCAGCGCTTTTTTGTACGATTTCTGAAAGAAATATTCGACCAAACCTTTCCTTAATACTCTCAGAACCTTACATCTAATATTAAATCCTCACATGTTGAACTATTAAGGTGTGACTTGTTGACGTATATTGAGGCAGCAGCCCACTGTAACACAGGGCTGACAGACCCACCATTTCAGATGTGTTGACGAACAACAAGAAACTCTCCAGTTCATTCCAGAATATAGCGGAGTTATGTCGCGCGCTCGCACGCCACAGCACCAGCGACCTCCCACCGCCCACCAGATGCAGTAGGACGAGCAGTGCTGCTTCTTCCCCCGGCGGGCTCAACTTAGGTTAGATGGGTTCAGGGGTGGAAACTATTTGAACTATATATTTAGAATTATTGCCTAATATAGATATATATTATGCTTATAATAATATACTGACGAAACTTGATGCCCTCATTTGTTCAAAGTTGAATGATTTGGCTGCTGTTTATTAGCCGCACGGAGTATGATGAACGTTTTTCATATCTTCTAGCAGTTCAACAATTAGACACGTGACATTATTCTATAACGTTCCATATTTTTCGTCCTCTTTCGTCCATTGCTTCGTTTAAAGAACAATTTATTAGTAGCTCAGTTCTAATACACTCGCGTACTCCTAATCGATCATCAATCATAAATCATTCATCATCATGGTATTGAGTTTATATCAAAATCAACTGACTGTCACTTTTTCCAAGTCCTCCATCCCCACAATCTAGTGTGTTGCTGCTTAGAGCTTACTGACGTTGAACCTTCACAAATCCGGACCCAACAACATAGCTGGAACCCATACAAATAACAAAATTTAAAGACATATCAGTTGTCGGACACAAATGAAAACATCGTACTTGGCGTTAGTGGAGATGACACATTATGGATGCTGACAGCGTTGAGAGCTCACTACATCAACAATACTTCCAGCAACCAGTAAACACGGCCAGATCCAGTAATATTTTAAATATTATCTCTCATAATGTATGCGTATAATTTAGGAATTAAGGGCCAAGCTGGGGCCGATACAATATGTTTACGCATCGATACAGCATCTGTAACCTGAACTATGAAGCTCTCTTAAGTGCAAAGTGGAATCTGGGATGAAGTTGTTTAACTCATGACAAACGTCTACACCAATACCTATAACACTCTCTGTTTAGCGTCAAATTATACGTAGTGTACGTAGTGTACGTCATTACAGGTTTGAAGCCCCATTAGCAAAGTAAGTCTACTTTAAATAGCTCCTAATTTTATGACTCAATGAAAGGGCTGATTAGTGACCCTTAGTGATTATAAGAATTATCGTCGGCCTAAATCAGCTCATATCTACTGAGAATATTATTCAGATGCTTTTAATACCTCATAGCGAACGAAAACACAGTGCTATGCGTTATTAGTGTAGGTGCCAAATTATTCGGAGTTAGGAGTGTATACTCACTACAGGTGTGAAGCCCCTATTGGAAGCTAATTTGGGCCACCCAGGGCCGCATTGACCGCGGTCTGCGCTGATACAGGTATATGATACTGGGAATGTTGTATAAGGTGTTTAATATATGGGGGACACACATGATGTCCCATATAGTTAGCTCTGTACTAGATTAATGAACACTGTTGTAATAAGACGAAGACCTAGACCTGTTCCATTGTCCATATAGCGTTAGCACACCAGTATAGGTCCACTTTTCTCTGGTTAGCTCTACTTTTCTCTGGTTTGTAACCCACCAGTAAAGGCCCACTTTTCTCTGGTTATCTCCAATTTCCTCTGGTTATTTCCACTTTTCTCTGGTTAGCTCCACTTTTCTCTGGTCTGTAAGTCACATACCCTCGCTTTCTCTGGTCTGTAAGTCTCTGGATTTGCACATTTTAAATATTAACCGTTTCAACTATGAGTCTAATGACCCTCCCCCCAGTTAGAAGCGTGTCTAGTTATTCACTACATATATGAGACACTTCCTCGCTCTTGTTGAACCGATCAAAGAATAGCTAAATTTAAATGCCATTACATAATGTCTCTGCTGGTTAAATAGCACCATCAACGAAACTGACATAATGGTTTGAAATGGTATACTGTATCGCTTAACCTTTGCTGGCAGTTTTAATTTTGCTTGAGAGTTGAGTTTCTCCAAAGAAGGCATTCACTGTATCAGTGGAAATATGTTCGACTGCGCTCGTTTTACCAGCCATTGGTGCTGCAGTTATTGGTAGGTAATGCTAGTGAGGTATTTGCTCAACCATGTTCAGTCTATCTAACACTGATCTAGATGGAGCCCAACAAAATGTACATCCTAACAGAAACTAGTGGTGCTTCTTGCTACTCCAGCAGCCCCTGTTTAACTTGTTATTAAAAGCTGTATAACTTACTGAGTTAAATAACATAAAGCCAACTGTTAGGTAACCGCACTATATTGCAACTGTTATATTATAATCTTTCTCCATAACTCGTTGCAGACAATCAGTTTACCGCTCATGTTAAATAAGGTAAGCACACATGTGACATCTAGGTTAACGCTAAGCCCTAAGCTATGTTAAGTCGGTAGCCATGAGCAACAGACCTCCTATCCCTCGTCACTGACATCATCAGCATACTCAGTCTCTGACTCTCTGGTAACTCAGCAACCACAACAACAAAACTAGCAACTGTAGCTCTCTCCAGCACCATTTCTCATTGTTCTGATAAACCGAGCATATTGTGAACTTTCTTTCGCTTTCGCTTTCACTAGTGTTGTCGAGCAATGAGCCAGCTTACTTCTTTAAACAATCTCCTTCTCTTTGAGGTACTGGTCACGTCGTCACGCTTTTATACGCCGACTGTGCACTCAAAGATCTTCAGTTCATATGCAGATGCAGGTTTCAGTTACACGTTACGTGTGCAGATCAGCTTTAGTTAAGCAAATTTTAATACTGTTCTCAGTTCATTTAAACGCTTTTATGTTCCGTTGATAGTTAGTAAATTGTACGGCTCTAAATACGATGTTTAAGAGTTCGCTTTATGGATCAGGTTTGTTTTTTCTTCTTAAGAATAACCCGGTAGCTGAGGCTCGCTGTGTGTGAGGTCGAGCATTAGTAGGATACACAGTCAACGCTTTACAGTACACACTTTACTATTCTTGTTAGCTCTTAGTTTGACTTTGTAGTGTGTAGTGTATAATAATGTAGTGTATAGTGCACTATAATATGCACTATATGCACTATATTATGCATTAGGCATATTCTCGTAGCAGCTATTGTATAGCCGTCTAGTTCACAGTAATTTTGTGTCCAATTAGCAAAATAGCTCCCCTGCGAATAGCTCCTAATTTTTGATAAGACAGCGGATCTCAAGACTCTCTGACGGCCTAACTCACAAAATAGAGCTCAATTTTTCTAAATTCTCTTTCTTCACATGCTTTGTTTAGATACCACACATTATAATACTGTTTGTACCTCATTGCAACTGCTTTATTTCTCGTAATTACCACCACTCTATAATACCTGCACCGAGTCTGTGGATATTATTAACCCATTACATTATAACTTGCAAGTTTGCCACCTACAATTCCATACAAATAATTACATGTAGATTGTGTATTAACACTTAATAGTTAATAGCCTCCCCACATACACGCACACCGCTCTCAATCCTCGTGTTTAGTAGTTAGTATCTGACGATTTGTATTTTGTGTTTTCTTTTTCTCTTTTACAGACGGTAACTGGTAGCCTTGGTGTTGTACAGCAGCGCTGTTGTTGTTGTTGTTCGAGGTGTGCTGCTGTTGTTGAGATTGTTTTGTGGTTTAGTTGCGATTTGTAGTTCTGTTCTGTCGACTGTGGAGTTGCTGGAAATCAAATGTTTTGAAATTGATATTAAAAACATTGATATTGAATTTAGTTATTACGTTTTTATCTTATTTTATCTCATATAGCTGATTTAAAACTGTTTTTGAGCAATGAGCGTGCTCACTTCTTATTACATAATATATATATTTGCGTCTTTCTGGTATTGGTTACAGTGTCGTGCTTTTGTTCTTTAATCGGTTTTATAACTTTTAAATCGTCAAATGCAAAATTTTCATGCAACTTGATAATTTGACGCACCATATAAAACCAAACTATCAAATTCGGCTAATTTTAAATTCGCAGCATGCATCAGTATAAAATACTATATACGTCAAATTTACAGAAGTGAACATTATTTTGTCGGAAATAACATTATTTGAAATGTTGTTCTGCTCAGTCATTGTTAATCCTACAATATAAATAATGTTATTTAGTTGTCATCTCCGAGGTTTCATTTCATTCTTAGTGGGTCAATACGTCAAAAAAGCTGACTTGGGTATGCGTACCACCACAATTTCAGTCGGTACGCGCAAATACGGCAAAATACGCGCACCTGTACCCAGTGCAGATACGGGTACGCCAAAATTAAAAAGCAAACGAATTCACTTATCTCAGAGACAAAATAAAAGACAATAGTAAATATTAAAAATGGAATTCAACAATTACACATCCGCAAAGATAACACAGTTCATCAAACAGTGTCATCAAAAGTAATTATAAAATCTGTAACAAACCACAGGTCTTACACCCGTTTGTTACAAACTTTATAATTACTTTTGATGAATAACAGCTTCTCTTGGGTCTCGAAAGCTAACCTATTGCGTTTTGGACCCATTAGGTAGTCGTATGTTGAGAACAATTGCTCGACTGGACTTTGAGAAATGGGCTGTGAGTATATCTTGATTGCGAGGGCTTGCACGCGTTTCTAAATTTCAATTTAAATTTGAAAAATTCAAATTCACTTTTGAGTTTTCGGGTGCGGGTGCGGGTACGCACGTACCGCTATCGGGGCCAGAACTCGGTACGCGCGTACCCGTACCGGGTGCGAATACGTATTGACCAACTAAGATTTCATTCTGCTAGTGACTAGTTATTGTAGGTAGTGTAATGGCCCGTGTCTCAGAGGCTATATATAGACTGCTTACAGTTTGATGCGTTCCGACAGGTGAAAGTGAAAGTGAATTTAAGATAAAAAATAAAGTCATACATTACATAATATGCTGCATTCTCGGTTTGATTTTGTTTTTGAGAAAGATAAGGTTCCAGTTCCTCTGATTCTATAATATTTCCTATCCTCGTGTTCATGACAGCATCCACAAAACGTGTAGTCTTGTGAGGAGGGAATTGCATGCTAAAACACGAATAGTCTCACCACATGACCATAGTCTTACCAGTATCACATGACCATAGCACATACAGGAGTGTGAATACGTGACATATCCTTCAGTTCATGCTTCTCTGTCTAAAATTTGAGAGTTGCTCCATTAAACATTGAGAGA